TAAAAATGTGGAAAATCCGCAACGCTCTACCTCTCTCATCTCTCTTAAACGTGTATAAGAAAAGAAATCGAATTGTTAGACAAAGAAATGAGTCGGCGAATTTCTTTATGTATCATTGATATGGTATTGTAAATCTCATGAGCACACGATATGCACGTAAAACTCGTTCAATTCACTCTGAAAAACAAGTTAACCCTTCGCTTGGCATTCGCTCTCTAAAAGTGAACATAATAACAAAAATACTGTGGACGTCTACAAAATTACAACTTAAATTAACTTTCACGACTCCATATCGGTATTTATTTTAAAATCAACACTGGTAGGTATCCTAGGGTTTTAAGGTTTTTTAAACTATATAAGTTTTATTAATTAATTATGGGAAGACATCAATATTTTAGAATTATTGAACATTTCATGAAGAATTATAGCTTAGGGTTGATGTTCACATGACATAAATTATATTAATCATGTCTGATCGAAAGCAGATCGGTACTCCTAGCACGAACCAATATCCAATTCGTATCGTTTGCGAGTCTGAAATGTTATTGTCAAATGTGTACTGATTTTTAGTTCTCGTTACATACTTTGTGCCGCTGCTGTTCAAGTTTCCATACAAAATTGGACATTGACATTTCGGCTTGCAAACTATTCAAATTCGATAATGATTCGTGCTAGGGGTACGGTAACTATTCGAGACAAATCGGCTTAAGGTCTTTACCCATTACAACGTACCTTAACATGACCGTAACCCTACTGACACATACAATAAAATATTATTTCATACAATTTATATGAACCACAAGACTGTTCCGTCGGCGGTAATGCACGTCCTACACCACGATAAATGATACGGTCCTAGCGTGGTCATGGTTTGGTACGGTATAGTGAGTAGAGAGTGGACATACCGCAGGGCTCCAATGCACTCGATGGGACCACAAGGACCACGGCTCTAGTAAGGTGGGTGGCATTACTGGATTTTCAGTTGGTAGGGCCTTTCAAATCTCTCTCTCTCTCTCTCTCTGCAGGGAGTAGGATTCCTCCTACTCTCTTTTGCAAGAGTGGAGCGCCACATAACCTCATCAGCATTTCCCGGTGGCGGGGAATGCGTCTTTCATTTTACTAACATAAAAAAAGAAAGAAAAAAAAAGGTGCTGATCCGCACCGATTACTTGGCGGTGGGCGTACAGCTCACGGTTTTGTTTTCGCTCATTTGTTCATTACATTAGTTTAGTTGATGACGGATTGTGTTGTATTGTGATGTTGTGAATTCGGTAGTTGGCAAAATAGGCCCATAAGAATCCGAGGCTGCGTCCAGATGCAGTCATCCCTCTCGCATTGGCCGGCAAGAGAGAAAGAGGCTCTCCTCTTTCTGCAAGGTACTTCTTGCTACTGCAAGGTAGTAAGCGATACGGTAAACTTAACTTTTCCGTTTTGATATACATATATGCTTAAGTACCAACCTTTAGTCCTTCCCGGGAACAAAAGTACGTTCTCAGCTAATTTGTATTTAAAATTTGTACGTCTTTTTGGTAAATTAGTTAATATAACAATATTAAAGTTCACCCTACATCTTTAATATTTATTTTCGGTGGTCGGAGGTGAAATGGAGTTAATTTAATTAATATCGTTCTTCATAAAATTAAAAGAAGAATATATACGGTTTTATTTACCTACCTATAAATATTATAATATGGTTCTCGAATTATTCCCATAGCCGAGTTGGGATCGGTCTTTATATTTATATTTTTTACAGGTCGAAGGATAATTGTATATAATGTGTGTAATGTGTTTGTTAATATTGATGCCTGATTCATTAATTTCTGTTTTCACCAAAATATTCGTAGGAAAAACCAAATAGACAGCCGTAACTTAATTGTTGTACTAAATGGTCATCATTGTAGCTACACGCTACTTGTGTGTTGTTTACTAATGTGTTACGATTGCCTTAACCACTGAGGTATCAAGGGACAATACGGCGTTACCCAATACCTCATCGAGCTCATATTTGTCACACCGAAGTTGTCAAAGATACAAAACAGACATGTTGCTGTTCATTATACAATCGAAGCCGTATTTGTGGATACAATTTGATTAAACCGAAAATTTTATATTATTATGTAGGAAAACCCAATTAGACATCCGTTACTTAATCATTGTACTAAAGGGTCATAATTGTAGCTACACGCTACTTATTTGTTGTTTCCTAATCAAGTAAAAGTCAAGACAAGTCAATTAATCTTATGATATTTTTGAAGTGAAAACTTTTTTAACAGCGTTGTACACTGTTTTTGTTGTCAAAAAATTTTAAACTCCCGTCAGGTTTTAAACACGTGGGCTTATCGCATCATGACGCACAATAAAATTGGAAAGGTTGTTGGCTTTCAATATATTGGACGAAACACAGTAATATTTTATTTTACCGTATTATAATAATAAGTCTCTATCTAGGACGTCCACGTGGCAACTTTATTGCAAAGAAAATGCATTTTTAAGGTGCGCTTAAATATGATTCATGTAAGTTGATTTCTTTACAATAGATCTCGCTAAGTGCGCTTAAAAGTGATTCATGTAAGTTGATTTTTCTGAGAGATAAACTTTTTTAATGTAATATAAATTGTCATTTTGTGTACGATAGCGCAATAAATAAATATTGTATTCCACCACATACATGATAGTACTTTTATACTGATAATGAAAGCAATTCGTGCAAAATTATTCCCTAACCATTCCAAAATATCAAAAATGCACAACGTTAATATACAAGTTTTCACTTCTGCCGGCACTCCCGGAGTGCAACTAGTTGTTTTTTTTTATTATTTATTTATTGATTTACCTATTTTCATTTTTTATGAATTACACAGACAATCTTCTATGAAAATCAGCATTCAGCATTATTTATCTAAAATTGTGGAACCCGTAATGAAATGTTCTATAAAAAAAGTCCTTGAGTTATTTACAATAAAGAGAAATATCAAGTTTGTTTAACTTTTCTACAAATTGGGTTGAACTACTACAACTACAAAATGGTCAATGTACCGAGATTCAGCAACGGAACGGACACAACGACGCAAACGCTTCAATTTACACAAACAAACTTAGTTGGTCTGCGCGCTGCCACTGGAGGTTGACCCACATCGAGCTAAATACACTCGGTGTTACATAACATTGGCTAACATCTTTTAAGTAGTATGGTCACAGACCTAGATAATATATTAATATTAATTTGTATTTAGAATATCTAGTCCGGTTTCGGAATAGAACGTATTAAAATTTATGATAGATCATTAATAATCTTCGCTCGATGCGAGAGGCGAATAAGTTGTGAGATCACGTCTATGGGCTATTTATAGATCCTGCCGTGCAATTCCGCAAAAACAAACTTTTTAATCTCTTCTAATAGAAAAATTAAAAATATGAATGATATGATTAAAAGAAAGTATTTCTGATTTATCCGTATGAAGCAAGTGAGCTAAAAGATATGATAAATATTATGAGCTAAATTGGGCGTTAATGTGGAATATATTTGAATTATAAGGTGGTCAAAAATGGCTCAAAACGGTTCCTGTAATATTACACACGATTACTGCTCGCCGGACGGACTTGGCTTGACGTGTCTGGATTATCCGTGTCGTATAATCATTCAACAATACAAATACAATTACCACTTATATCACTACACCCATTATTATTACGCTACTTAAATCGTTATAAAAGTCAATTTGATCAGTTTTCCCAGTTTTTACCACTTTGGTGCATATGATTTATGATGACGATTTGCCCTAAAATAAACTGAAATAGTAATTTCTTATACAGTAATATATTATGTTTGTCTTACAACTTTTTCTAAAAGTGAAAAAACAAAAAAATATCGACAGAATTAACTTAAAACGTAGGTATCACTTTATACTTGTTAGTATGAGGTCAATTCAGTGTGGTGTAATATGATTTACGTTCCATTAACTTTATATCACTATACACTAATATAAAGTTTCGTGCTGAGTGATTTAACTGGGTTTATTAAGTAATTTAAAAAAACCATAAATGTTATTTCCCAGACTGGCACACTACCTGATTATTTCCAACATCATCTTTCATCAAAACATATTGCACTTACGTACTACTATACCCGTAAGGTATAGTACGGGTTACGAGTATAGTAAAGGTTTTCGTACCTTCTTGATCCCGACATGTTTCAACCAGTTTACACCGGTCGTGGTCACGGCGCGTCACGTAAAATGTCATATTTATAATGCAACGCGAAAGTTTCTTAATGTATATTGCACCAAATTTTTTTTTTTACTTTAAATGCGATTTCCCAAAACTCACTATTTTCAACTTAGATCCCTTTACACTGAAGTTACAGTATTAGAATAATTAAAATAAAATAGCAACGCTGCATTGTTTACTTTTTCATAAATTAGGTATTTGTACGTGCTTTTGTAATGTTTAATTTTATTATCATTGTTTATGCTTAGCATCTGAAGCGAACTTATTCAAGAAGAATCTTTTATCGTTTGTTTTTGATTTGGACGTGCTCTTACTTAATACACTCTTGTATACATTATTGATTTGCACAAAGAATGAGAACTAGGTACCTATTTTGTGTATAGGGACACCTACGTTTCTCTAACCAATTTATAGTAATTAATTTGCATAAAGGTTGGAATGAGTGAAACGAAACCTTTCCAAAACCGGTTCATAAAATCTTTATCCGCTCCAATACCCAAACTTCAGGTTATCTCGCTACTTTATTTCAAAACCTGGTTGAGCGTCTTTGTATATATAAACTGATGAAATGCTTGTAATAAAAATGACTACTTTAATCAGTTTAATAATGAAAGTGAACCTCTTTTTATTAATATTCATTAACATGTTTTATGATTATAATTGAGTACTTCCACGTACTTTATTGCGGAAACAAAGATGAGAGCTGCTCTACTCTACAAATCCGTTTCGAGAGTCTTAATAATTAAGTACTTTATGATTATTAATGGACTTACCCACGCGTTTCGCTGAAATCTGTCTGGTGGAGTAATTAAATGGCACGTAAATCAAGTCATCTAGTTTCCCAGTTAGCTCCTTCGGAAGTTTCTCCGCTGCGTGCATCTCGTTCAAACACAACATATTTTCAGTCGCGCACTGTTCACAATTCACTGTTGAAAACTCGCGATTTACCACGAAAGCCTCGTCGTCATCCTTATGCAACACTTTAGAGTCAACTTTATCGTATACGAGTTCAGCTACTCCTACTAGATCACCTTGACATGCTTTATCCGCTATCACTCTCATCGTGTATGTACCCGGCGCCTTTTTAGCATCCAAAACGAAATCAGCACGTTCACCTCTACCCAATTCGATAGATTTTACGATTTCCGGTTCTATTCGGTGTCCGTCTAAGGCAACAAGTTTGATATCATGTTGATCGATTGAGAATTTCACCGAGCAACTTTTGGACCCACCGCCGTATGCTAAACGGAAACGATAACGTTTGCCGTACTCTACTTTGAATTTGGATAATGGTGCGTCCGCGGATTCAGTTGTTTTTCCTTTACCATTGATGAGAAGGGATTCCGCATTCGGTAAATTTGACATCATGCCGGCCAAAGGGCCCATTGAGTGGCCCCACTCAGCTATGAAAATGGTGTGGTCTGTGGAGTCTACGTCGTATAGTTCGTGAAGTGGGTCGAGCCGCGGGGATTGTCTGACGACGAGAGCACCAGCTAGTCCATCGGCTGCGTCGGCAGCGGAATGCGCATGGTACATGTGCGTGCCCACAGATGAAGCGCGGAACTTGTATTGGAATGTGGTATAGGCAGGTTGCGGGCACTGGGTGAGCATGGGCGCTCCGTCCATGAAGGGCGTTTCCTTCTGTGGTTGACCGCGCCAGTGGATTGACAGCGCGTGAGCTGGTGCTCGGTGCACCACGTCTACGACCAGGATGTCGTTCTCGCAGACGTGCAGCGCCGGCGCAGGCAGCACCCGGTTGGCAGTGAGTACGCCGCGCTCGCGACCATCTGCAGATATGCACATGGCCGGACAATCGCCGCCATTTTTCTCCGTACAGCTACCGCAAGATCTGGTAAAGCAATAAATGTTAATTTATAGGTCCAAAGTTATTATAGATTTAACATTTTAAAAACAAAACTTAAAGGTGTTATAATTACTTACTTGCTAAGAGTTTTGTAAACTTCAATGACTAGTTTTACACGGCAAATCATCGGCCAATCCAGTTCATGACACTCTCGATCGCAATTCTCAAAGTATTCCTCTGTAATTAAAAAAGATAATATTATTGTTTAAACCCGTAATGTTAAAAAGTATTGATTGAGTTTATACCATATCAACTTTGTTTTACATAATCTAAAAAAGAATTGTTTTTGTCTCAGAACAATGGTCCTCAAGGAATGCTATAGTAATTATAATCAAATAACAATTAGTTCTTTACGTTGACCTATATTTTATAGAAGCAATATAAGATCTTAATTTTTAAACTAGTATAAATTGTTTAAGGGATCGGTATTGTTAAAGTTAACAGTCGCTCGTTGACTGTTGAAGTTCTCCAACTCATACAGCTTATTATCAAACATCATTGAATCAAAATAATTATATCGTAAGTAGCTCTAAAAACAAATCAAACAAATTGTGAAAAAAATAATTAAATAGGTTTCAATGGAAAATCAGTAATAATTACCTGGCATTGGTGTATAACGCACAACAATTAAAACACCAGTAAAGATAACAAACAACACGAATATCCTTTGCAAGGACATAATCATATAATTTGGTTTCTCCACAACCACCACCTCTTCCGTCTTCTTTTCGGACTCCATGGTAACAAATTCCTTTAATTATTAAAAAAATCTTTAAAATATTTAAAGTTTCGCGCGCGTTTTCAAACGTTACATGTTTGATTCGGAACGATAGTTGTTTGACAGTGCGACTACGCGAGTCGACCATCAGTTGGCGACTGGTGAAGTGTCTGAGGTCTGAGCAATCACCACGTTCGGTTGATGCAACACTGCACCATCATCTCCATGCCTTTTGGTCCCAAACTGGATAATTCGGAAGCAAATTGCCGCATACAAGCCCTCTCTCTCTCGTTACCCACGATTTATGTAACATTTATGCAACAGCAGCAACATGAACTCGCCGCGCGCCTTTACTCGAACTCGGCATGTTACGTAGACGCGCGCTAATTTTAGTGTAATTAATTACTAGTTCATATTAAATAATAATCTAAGTTTTCCCCTGAACCACTTACTGGGTCGGACTATGACAGAACGAATATAAAAAATTGGTCAATTGCGAGTCGGATCCGGGCACTATACAATATGTGAATATTTCAAGCGTCTACTTGTTGCCGTTATTAATATAGAACAAAAACCGTCAAAAAAACTCGTTTGTTGTATGATAGCCCCCCTTGAATATTTATTTTATTCTATTTTTAGTATTCGCTGTTTTAGTGACGGACAGGGGAGTCCTAGTATTAGGGTCCCGTTTTTACCCTTTGGGTACGGAACCCTGAAAAAACTATCAGTCAGTGAACGCTAATCCTTTTCGGGAACACCTCTTTAATTTGTTTTTACTAGAAATTTCAAAAATAAATACACTATACCCTTAGCACGAATCAATATCGAATTGGTATCGTTTGCGAGTCCGAAATGTCATTGTCAAAGGTGTACTGATTTTTAGTTCTCGTCACGTCCGTTGTGACGCTGCTGTTCAAGTTTCCATACAAAATTTGACAATGACATTTCGGTTTGCAAACTATTCGAATTCGATAATGGTTCGTGCTAGGGGTACTGATATATTCTAATAAAGAGAGTAAAGTTTTTGTTAGATTCTTACCAAGTTTCCTTTTCAAGTCATTCATATTCTCTAATATAGTAACTTAAAAACTTGATTATGATCCCCGTACCTTTTTGGAAAGATTGCTCATATTTTTACATATAAATATTTGGTAATTTTGGGAAAATACGTGCTTTAAAATAAAATTCCTGCTTGTGCTGTAAAACAAACATATTAAAACCATAGTTAGGTACAAAATCACAAACAAAATCGTGGCCCAAACCTGTTCTAAAGGATTACCTTAAGTTTTAATCGTACTATTAAGGGAGCCCAAGATGCAGCAGAACAACACGGTGGGGCAGTCTTGCACCTTGTGAAGTACTTCCACCATACCTGAGCCCTTTATGTAGGCCCAAACGTCTAGGGCAACAAAAGAAAATCATCATGATGACCATGACTTTTGGTCGCACGTCTTGATCGTCAGTCTTTTGAATAGAAGCTACTGGAGGGTTCACGTAACGTTTTTGATGATGGAAAAAATAATAGGTCTTTACCTATGTAATTGCCTTTCTGCCATACTGGCTATTTCAAGGCCAATTTTTTTCTTTTTTCTCTAAGAATTCCAAGTTAAAATTATTTTATTTTTAAAATATATCATTTGTTTAATGGTTAGCGGTTTGTTTTCAGCACATTTGTATATTTTTCGTCATCATGGATACGTCAAAAATTCGAGTGATTATGGAGTATGAGTACAGTTGTGGCAGCAAAGCAGCACGCAACATCAACAACCGAGAGGCAATTCAAAATGCCTTTGAAGACTTTGTTGCCGCCCGTCCAGTATACTTTTTCAAAAAGGGCATTAATAAGCTTTCGCTACGTTGGCAATAATGCATTGATTGCATGGTAATTACTTTGGTGAATAAATATAAAAAATGTAGAAAAAAAGGGCCTTCGATTAAATACCTATAATTATCTGCCGGTTAGCATGATGTAGGGGTGGTACAAGGGGGTAGAATATAGGAAAAAAAAACAAATAATTCTTACATTTACAACCTATGTAAATATAATTTGGTTCATTCCGCCTTCGCTTCTCTACTACTGACAGTTCGATTCAATGTTTGGTTACGTAAGCTCCCTTCTGTAGTTGTGATTTAATAAGATGCACCTGTAAGTGAATGAAATGGTAGGACTGGGCAGGCAGGGGTCGCATATTCATAGTTAGCCTAGGGCGGTCAGAAATCTAAATCAGGCCCTCTTTATATCGTACCCGATATAAATAAAATAAATAAATAGATAAATATTTCCAATACTCACACCAATTAGCCTAGCCCCAAAGTAAGCACTGTCAGGCTTAGTTATGGGATACTAGGGTAACGGATAGAATACATATATAAGTAAATTAGTATAGAGATAAATATTAAACATCCATGACTGGAGTACAAATGCTTGTATTCATCACACAAACATCTGCCCCCACCGGGATTCGAACCCGGGACCTTTCGAGTCGGCGACACCATGAAACCCGGCGTACAAACCACTCGGCCACGGAGGTCGTTAAAATATGAAAAAAGATAGCGCATAGTGGATTTCCCGCTCGAATTGGAGCGACTGTCTGGAGAAGTAACCTCCACCTTAAGTACGCAGAAAAAACAATGCTATCTTTTGGTGGTGTTGTGTTTCTGTCGTTGAGTAAGGTTCCAGGGCTGCATGGTGTAGGGGATTGGGTTAGGGTAGGCAACGGCTCAAGCGGCGACTCATAACTGGACCCCGCAGTTACGCCTCGAAGGTAAGGGGTAGATCGGGGAGTTGGTTTACCTGATAGGTACGGGAGCTGGTCAGCTGGCTAGCCGCTCGGACTGCGGACCGTGAGACTACTCAGGTGACGCTGTGTACGGAGAAGCCCAGGATCGGCTAAAACGGGTGCGGAGAGGCGAGGTGGTTTGACGTATGCCACGCTTGCGTGAGTGCACGTCAAAGTATACCCGCACCGACTAGCGGCCCTCGGGCTGCTCGCCGCTTGCCGAATGCACCACGCAATTACCTGCGTCGCGAGGGTTTATTAACAGAAAACCAACGTGACGTTGGTCATTGTCGTGGATATAATACATTTTTTCTCCCCGTCATCGAAAAAAAAAAAGAAAAGGGTAGGCAACGGCTCGAGTGATATTTTTTAAATAAAACTAGTTTAAACCCTCCAGGTCTTTTCAGGTCTGCATTATTCTGACGATGCAGACCCGAAAGGCTGCGAAACGTCAATAAATAAATAAAGTTCGTGCATTAACCCGTTAAAATAAAACTGGTTTTATTACATAAGTGATGTGCGTGAAAACCTAAGAAACAAATGTGATATTTTTTGTATCGCAAGTGTCTAAAGGTTATGGTGGCTGCTTACCATCAGGGGGCGATATGCTTGTATTATGCGATTCAAATCACAATAGGAAAGCCGATGACCTCCATCTGTCAAATGTCACTTGAAAAGTACGGTTTGCAAAAAAATCTTGAAACCCTTTCTTAACACTCAGCTAATCTATACTTATAATAAATCTGTAGAGATGTCAATTCTGTACATGAAATATATTTTTAAAATAACTATCAGGGCATGATTAGTGATCGATACTGATGCCAAAAATGCAATCAGTAAATTTTTTGTCTGTCTGTCTGTCTGTGTGTATGTTCCTTATAGAAACAAAAACTACTCAACGGATTTTAACGAAACTTGGTACAATTATTCTTCATACTCCTGGGCAGGTTATAGTATACTTTTCATCACGCTACAATCAATAGCAGCAGAGTAGTGAAGGGAAATGTTGGGAAAACGGGAGAAGTTACTCCATTTTTTAAGTTTCCGTCGCCTTAATGGTTAAAGTTACATAGAAATCATGTATGACGGAAATATTCTACATAAAATTGTCTAAAAAATATCTCGCAACAGCATATGTCTATCTTTTATGGTTGACTCACAATAACACGTGTAATTATATAAATAAAGTCATTCTTTATAGCACAAGCCTGAGAACAAAAACTATAGTTTACACTACAGCTCTACACCGAAGCGAAGCGAGGGCGGGCCACTAGTTCTAGAATAAAAACCAAACATTTGTAAGCAAACAATAACAAATATTGATAAATAATATTGGTTGATATTTTTTTTCATATATTGAGCTTTGGTTATGAATGTTTCTTATTCTAAATCATCAACCAAATGTCACTTTAAGTTGCGTTCAGGAACTCGATTGAAAACTTTTTATTAAAATAATTTTCACCCCCTGGGAACCACTATTTTTACAACAGGTTTCAAAAAATATAGCGAGTGAGCTTATGACTACACGACTGAAGTGATCTGAAAATCATAAAGTTAACCTGAAGATTTGTTGATAGAAAAAAAACACATATCCGCGCTGGGTCCGTTATCACCCTCCAATCCGCACTGGGTCCATTATCACCCTCCAATCTGCACTGGGTCCGTTATCACTCACCAATCCGCACTGAGTCCGTTAACTTCCACCATTCCGCGCTGGGTCCGTTATCATCCTCCAATCCACATTGGGTCCATTATCACCCACTAATCCGCGCTAGGTCCATTATCACCCACCAATCCGCACTGGGTAAGTTATCACCCCCCAGCCCGCGCTGGGTCTGTTATCATCCACCAATCCGCACTGAGTCCGTTATCACCCACTAATCCGCGCTGGGTCCATTATCACTCACCAAGCACTAGATTCATGTATTTTGTGACGGGTATTGTTATTCACCATCGATACAAGGATCCATGTATACCTATCTCTGAAATCTTCTTGAGGAGAATGTCGTGATTTATTACATCAAATGCCTTTGCTGAAATCTATTTAAATAGCATGTACTTCACCTCCATTATCAATAGCGCCTGACACATCACGAACAAATCCAACCAAGTTTGTCATTCTTGGACAGGAAGCCATGTTGATCAGGTTGGATTTTGTTTGATATGCCAGTAGATTCTTTATTGCACTATCGACTCCAATAACTTGCTTACCATCGGAAAAATAAATTCAGGACATAATTTGAGACCATATTTACATCACATCTTGTGTATTGGCGTTAATTGTGCAATTTTGCATTGCAAAGGAAAGATGCCATAATTTAAAGATTTATTATAAAATACACAGGTGTTCCGATATAGTATCCGAGCACGATTTCAGAAATGTGTTTGGAATACCATCCATGGAATACGATAAGGTTCCTAAAGAAGATGATGAATTGTTCTGAGATGTTACGTCTTGCGTGCATGGATTGGCATTAGTGTAGGGGTCTGGGGACGCGTCCCGATTTGTACCTGATCGGGACGCTAAATGTCCCGATTAATCAAAAAGTGAAATTTAGGTAATTAATGGTTTCGATTCTGGCGTGATTCTCTAAGGATGCACTATTGTCAAATTTAAGTTTAGCTTTAGGGAATCATGCCAGAATCGACATCACTATAATACTATACTTGCACTGGTACTTTAAAACGAAATAAATTGAACCCATACTTAAAACCCCCTTGTTTTTTGTTTACTGTCTCGATCTGCAACCCATCCATGCTATATCATCCATAAACTTTAGATTATAAACTGACTGAAAATATTCAGAGAACAATTCACCTATCTCTTATCCACCACTTGCGGCACTGCTTTCCAGCATAATCTCATTTGGTATCGAACCACTATTTTTTTTCAGGTTATTCACAAACGTCCAAATGTGCTTGGGATTACTTTTAATAGTCTCTGCAGCATTCTTTTTAAAATTTGTATAGCGATCTTTGATCGTCCTATCATATCTCTTTCTAGCGTCTCTTTCTCACGTAGGTTGCCATATCATTTATATTTATATCTCCTGTACTATTTTAGTTTTTCTTTTGCACATTTTACCGGGGAAGAACTAAACCAGATGGAGTATCTCGTATTTTTGGGTGTACTAAATGGTGTGTTTTCTTAATTATAGAATTATAGGCATGATATTTAAATAAAAAAAATATTCCATCTGGTCCACGTTGGTGTCTTTTTTCCATATCTCATCCCATTACAGGAGCTAAAGTTTCTAATTGATTTTATCATAATTTGCTTTTTTGAAATTGAATGTGGGATTTCGAAGTCGTTTTAACATTTCTATGATAAACCTAAATATAATTAACCATGTGTCCGCATACCGATTTCTCTTAAAATGGATGCCCATTAGGCAGCGCAGAAGTATGCGAGCTCTGACCACCCTGTTCTTTTTGCTGGATTCTCCAAATGCTCCCCCTTATCTCACTTCTCAATTTCAGTACTTATGTACCTCTCATAGTAAAAATCTTCGATCTTCTTCTAATCGTTCCATCACACTGCTCCGATATTATTCACTCTTCCTTCTTCGTAAAAACGATACTTTTGTGGAATGATCTCCCGTTAGATATCAGAATGTCCCCCAGTAAATATACCTTTAAAACCAAACTGCGAAGCTTTTTATTAGAACAGGCGTTTCATTGAGTGGTTTGTCGTCATTATTTTGTATTTATTTTGGAAATATGTATGTATTTGTGTATTTATTTAAATATATTAACTTATGTATGTGTATGTTTATATATTATCTACTATATAAAAATAAGTCGGGTTTTCCTTCCTGACGCTATAACTCCAGAACGCACGAACCGATTTCCACGGTTTTGCATTCGTTGGAAAGGTCTCGGGCTCCGTGAGGTTTATAGCAAAGAAAATTCAGGAAAAAATAAAAAAAAAAAACTTCTTTTAATCACCAAACGAAATGTTACATAAAACGAAGCCATCTGGTGGCGAAACGGAGTTCGCGGGGTTTGCTAGTTATTTATATTTATTATTTTTATAAACTTATCTTTCAATGTGATTTCCACTTCAGTTGTGCACCCTACCACTAATAATCTCAACAACATCCTATGGTTGACTGGTAGAGAATGCCTACGGCATTAAGTCCGCCATTGTACATTTGTGCATAAAGAATAAATAAATTAATAATTTCTTTATGATTTTATTTATTTTTTAAGCATTTAACTGCTAGATGTTTAAATCTAAAGAAAAGTTTACTAGAAAAAAATCCACGCAGACCAGGCAGCGGACGGGACTCGTACCCGCATCCTTCGCTGTCCGGGCGAATGCACTGACCATTATGCTACCACGGCCCTATTAGCCGCGTCGAAATTTTCCTAGCCTTAAGCTGCAAAGCAGCGCCATCTCTTCGCATTGTAGGTAACCCACAATGTCAAATGAATACTTTTTCAAGTATTAAACATTTGAAAGAAGAAATAGCAATTATAGTTATGATTTTATTTCTTTTTTAAGCATTTAACTGCTAGATGTTTAAATCTAAAGAAAAGTTTACTAGAAAAAAATCCACGCGGACCAGGCAGCGGACTGGACTCGAACCCGCATCCTTCGCTATCCGGGCGAATGCACTGACCATTATGACGCGGCTAATAGGGCCGTGGTAGCATAATGACATTTTCTGGTCTTAAAATAAAATCACGATTTTTTTTTTAGATCATTTCCCTTTTTGTCACTGTCACTCCCAAAAACATAATTTTAGCAAACAAAACGAAACGATCCCGCACCGAAACCGAGCCAGTCAGTGCAGTGTCGTTTCGTTATGTTTGCTACGAAACGATTTTAATTGCGGGAGTGACGGGACGGGCTACTCGTATTAGGCAGCCCCCCTAGCACTCGGTACTCGTACAACAATCTGTACGGATTCGGTACAGAAACGAAAACGAAACGAGCCCGCAACGACACGGTGAGGAGTTGTAATATTTAAGAATAGTTCCTCTTCGTTTGCAAATCCGGCAAAGACATTAAATTAAAACACATTTTTACCAACCATTCAATAATTTATTATTTATAAACAGTTAATCGATATTTTATTTATTTTGTAAATAAAGACAAGTTTTGTTCATGGGTTTTGTTTTCTGTTATTTTAGGATAAATTACCCATTTTATTTACTCTAAAGTTACGTTTCGGACCCTCTCTATGACAGCTGTAACCTGAAAACATTTTTATTAAATGTTACCAACTTAGAAATTTTCCCATCAAAACCAGGGGATAACGAAATGGGGTGGGGTATCATTGGTGCCTAAGAGTATTTTTGCTGGTTTTTAAAACGTATTACCATGTTAGGTACTAAAAAATAACTGATAAATGTGAGTTATCACCGAACACCTGGAAGATAAAAAAAAATGTGTTTAAAATAAAAAGTAGTAAAACTATTACGAATTATGAAAAAGAAATTATATTTAGATTGATCATATGCTACGAATTTTAATAATTGCAAACAATAATAAATAAAAAAACAGGTGTGAAGTTTATTTATGTTTTGTATCTTACAAAGTAGTGCCGACCAGTTGTCCCAAATGAGCAGTACGTTTAGGTAACTTTTTAAAAACTAGGGAGATTTTGGGTTCTTTGCTTTAGGGGTAATTATATTTGTAAGTATGTTACATTGATTTTGACATTTGTCAACGTATTTGTTTGTTGCGGCGAGCGGACTGAACTAACCTAAAACAGATTTTTCTTTGAAAAGAATCTTGATTGAAGCTTGGTAAAATAAAAATTAAGAGTTCTGATATTGGCACAAACACTGTTAAAAGTAAAACTTGTGATCAAAATGGAAATAACGAAAAAAAATTTTGCTGAAGAAATAGATAACATAACCAAAGATTTGGAACGTTCTTGTTTTATTGGTTTTGATGCTGAATTCACAGCAATTTTAAGTGGAGAAAATTTCCAGCATAGGTAATAATAATCCTCCTTTAATTTTTTGTATACCATGGATGTAGAACTTGGAATAAAAGAGGAATTTCATAACTTTTAAAGAACATTCCCACAAGAATTTTGAGCATTATAACTTCTATTAAAAGCTTTCATAAAGTGTGAACTGAAATAACTTTTTATGTACTAAAATTCTTATTACAAATTAATTTTTCAGCTTATTTGATACAAATGAAGATCGCTACAATAAAATTAAAACAGAAGTTAGTAAGATGTTAATGACACAGATTGGTCTTACGATGTTCCAATACGACAGAGATATTGATACTTATGTGGCAGTTGGATACACATTTCATCTCTGTCCCCAAGTTTTTGGGGAGATAGACCAGTCATTCATTTTCCAAGCATCTACCCTCAAATTTCTTTGCAAACACAATTTTGATTTCAATAAGGTAAAATGAATTTATTGTTTCCTTTAAAATGTTTTTTTTCCTGCCTTATTGTTCTTGCTTATTTCTACTACTTTCTGGTTTAGTTAAGACACTATCAATAAAATAAATAAATTATTATTTCTAACACTCACAGCAAATAGCCTGGCCAAAGCATGCATTGAAAGGCTTGTGTTATGGGATACTATACACACATGTTATCCTCACATTGGACTTTCACATCAATGTGTTTAATTTTATTTTAGCCCTTAATTTAGTATAGGAAACACAATCAATTTTAATTCTCTTAATTTTCAGTTTACATATGAAGGTCTCCCATACCTCAGCAAGGAAGAAGATGCCTTAATACAACAGCATTTAAAAAATAATAAGCTTATTGAAAACCTTTCTCGGACAATGGAAATGGATGAAGAAAAACAACTACAAACATACTGCTCTGAAGTTTCTAAGTAAGTAATGCATGGGTCAAGTTAGGGCTCAGCTTTCCATTATATGTAATTGAGTTGCAAGCTGAAATTTTTGTCACGCAAAGTATTAACTATTAAAAACACGTACACGAAATCTTTTTAGGCGGAAACGAATAGAACTCGAGAAAAAAATTATTGAAAATTAATATTTTTGTAGGTTATGAGTCAATTTTGACAGCAATTTTGATCAGTGCTGCCATTTTTTTATTCAAAAATAACATGTTTCTCGTTGTCTATGCTAAATATAAGTTTATTATGTTGGTACTATTGTCAAAATGTGACAATTTACCGCCATTAATGAGATCTGTCAGTCAGTGTTTGTGTTTGTCGCAGTTGAGAGCTTTTTCGTACTCCTGTTGATATTAACATCGTCTGACTACCATGGCATCCTCAAAGCCTTCGGCCTCGAGTTCTGCTGTCCCTTCTCCTGAAGAGTCGAGTGTAGTGCGAGTTTTGGACTCTAATGAGCCACTTTTGTGGTGATACTTCACACTAGGTTAGGTTAGTGTTGTGACCTTAACGCGCGAGCCGAGCGAGCGAAGCCCCAGAAAGAAAAATTCGTTAATAGAGACTTTTTCTACAAAAAAATCAAATATCACCTCTAGGCCCTGGAAGTACAGTTTTACCTTTTAAACCTCTCTAATTTTTTATAATTATCATTTCTGTAAAAAAAACGACCCTTCCCTCTGAGGGGTCTTCCCTAATACCTATCCCCCTGAAATTCCACTACATTTAACAGATTCAATGAATTTTTAGGTTAGGTAAAAAAAACTGCATTTCCGCCAAAAATCCTTTATGGCGGGGGTCGGTCGGGAGGAGCCCCCCCTCCCCCTCCCCTACAAATTACCCCGAAATTCAATTACATATAATGGAATTAAGTACCCAAGTTAGTCTTCAAATAGTGTTTAACAAATCTATTACAAAATATAAAAGGGGGGGTACTGAATTAGAAGGTAATTGAAACTTCAAAAATCCCTTAGTACTTAGCACATGTTTCTAGAGAACTTGTATCTGCCATAACCATACTATACTCGCAGCATAACCAATGGCAGGCTAGTTGTACTATCCAATGATAGCACCGAAAAAAAAAATTAAATGGTAAGCAGGTAAAAAAAAAAAAATACCTACTTAAATTTCAAGTTTAGATTAATACTGGACTAAACCTAAAATTTAATTTGACTACAGTGTATACTTATCTTGCAATACAGAATGAAAAGGAAAGACTTGTCAAATTTAGTTTTAAGATAAAAGAACCAAACCAAAATTGGGGTCACTAAATATGTTCTTCATAAATAAATAATCAGTATTATTATGCTACTTGCACCAACATATTCATGTATTTTTAGTGGTTAATATTATGAATATCATGAAAAATATAATAACAAGTACCAACAAATTATTTAAAACTTTAATTTTTTTTAAGCATTTCAATGTTAAATGCTTTTTTTAACTAGAAAAAATTCCACGCAGACCAGGCAGCAGACAGCACTCGAATCCGCACCTTTCGCTATCCTGGTGAATGCACTGACCATTATGCTACCATGGCGCTGATGACCGTGTCGAATTTTTTCTAGCCTTTGGCTGCAAAGTAGCGCCATGTCTTTGCATTGTAGGTAACCCAAAATGTTAAATGAATACCTTTACAAGTAGTAAACAATAAAAAAAGAAAAAAAAATTTTGATGTTCTACATGGTATCTTACCCATCTTTATACCTTTACTTTTCAGGTGGTTAGCTACCAGTGATGAAGGCACAATGTATATAGATGTCAAGTCTCCAGTCCTTAGGTACCTTGTTCATAATGAGGTCCGATCAAGGTTTCCAGATGTACTGACAACTGATAGCTTAGGTAATAGTAATAAGGTAAATTATTAGTTTGGGAAACTGCTTCTTAAATTTCCATGCTTATTGAATCTGTTACTTTTTTAAGATGATGAATCATACTAAAAATAAATGAGAGTTCTCTTCCATTATTTACCACTCTTTCTAAACTTATTTAATAAAATAAGGTAAAGTGTAAGAATATCTGTAAATTCAGTCACATTTATTTATATGAAAAAATACAATTAATTACGATCAGGTGTCTTGACTTAAACCTGTCAATGGAGCTTAAAAAAAGAGGTTTAAATTCATACAATAGTTACAACAAATTTAGTTACCGAAAATTATTTTAGTGAGTATGACTCACTCATAAAAAAATATTCAATGTGATGACTTAAGATAGTCTGTCCATTTCGTGCTGTATTCCCGACAGGACAAACGGAACAGAATATCTTGCGACGTAATTTTCGATTCGATTCTTTATTACTGCAAGTTATGAAGTTAAAGGAGAGCTTATTTTCTTGCTTTTGTCTTTAAATAATATAAAGAATTATATTAATACTAGCTGACCCAGCGAACTTCGTACCGCCATAAAAAAATTTAATTAAAAAAACATTGTCCAGCGGACAAAATTGTGAATCTAAACCATTCTCAGATCCCCTTGAACACACACAAAAAATTTCATCAAAATCGGTCCAGTCGTTTAAGAGAAGTTCAGTGACATACACACTCACAGAAGAATTATATATATAAAGACTAGCAAACCAGTGAACCAAATGTTCACCAAAACCTGATTTTAAAAAAAATGTATTTAATTAATTGAGAACTTCGGAGATTTTGTGTGGTTTCGTTTGAAATTCGTGATTTCTCGAAAACCGGAAGTGCTACGTTACTCAAATCCGGTTTGTAGTCTTATCAGACTATTCTTAACTTATAACTTAAACATTCTCTATATCTATCTCTTACGGTTTGGCCGCTGAAACAGCACCACGGACGGACGGACGGACTTGTCTAATAGATAAGAGATAAAGAAACCTGATCCTCATATATTTTTATTACAGGTTTTAATATACAGAGATAAGAATGTGGAAGGTGCAAACAGTGCCCCAAAAAATGTTTTAGAAGAGAATTTAATGAACAATCTTTTAGGTTTTTCACAAATCATCTACTTACTTGAAACATATAAAAAGCCGATAGTAGGCCACAATTTATTCTTAGACACTGTTTTACTGCATAATCAGTTTATAGGATCACTACCAGAGAAATATTCCACGTTCAAAAAGAATATCAACAAAATGTTTCCAAATATTTATGATACAAAATTTATTTCCCATGAAATGTCAAAGAAATTGTCATTTGATGAAGTGTGGAAATCTAATGCACTGCAAGAGTAAGTACTTTTGTTATTTGATTTTAACTTTATTCTCCTTTGTTTTGTGTACATAAAATTATTTGGTAAAATTTCATTACAGCTTGTATGAATTTTTTGCTGAAGGGAAATGTAAGAAGCTGGAACTAGGTGTGAACCCCATCAGGTTGAGCACTCCGTTTGATGTAAAGCAATCCTACCATGAAGCCGGGTGGGACTCATTTTGTTCTGGTAAATAAAGAACCTTATAATAAATCTCGAAAAACTAATTAATATATGTCACCTGATGTTAAGTATGCCTGGCGAATGTAATCAGAGTTAGAGAATTTAATTTTGACTAAAGTTATTGTTATCACTTTCTCGATTGTAACAATAGAGTGAGATAAAACATTTCTTTAAAACCATTGTGGGTTCAAGTTGCGAAATTAATCAAATAATTCGTGAAATTCTGGCAATCTGAATTACTGCTATAATGTAATGCTATTCAAATTTTGAGGAGCTCGATGGCGCAACTGGTTAGCGCGTTCGGCTGCGATCGTTGAAGTTAAGCAACTTTCGCAGTGGTCGGTCATTGGATGGGTGACCAAAAATTTACTATCTCGAGCTCCTCCGTGCTTCGGAAGGCACGTTAAGCCGTTGGTCCCGGTTGCATCTGCAGTCGTTAGCACCCACCAATCCGCACTGGGCCCGCGTGGTGGGTCATGGCCCAATCTCCCTATTCCATCCATAGGGAAGGCCTGTGCCCCAGCAGTGGGGACATTAATAGGCTGATGATGATGATACTAACATAAAATAAATTTTGAATCATCATCATTAGATGATGATACAATTTTATGTTATGTGATGTATGTATCCACTATATACCAGTCAACGAAAGAATGCGATCCTTACTGGTCGTGTCAGTTCCTTAAGTTGACTAAATAAAATACAGTTTTGATCTTGTAAAAAAGAGGTGCAATAATAAATTCTAATTCTGTTGCTCAGATTACAGAACAAAAGGCAGATGGAACGCACGTAACACGAAACTGCAGCCTCCAAAGCAAATATAAAATCAAAATTAAGTGACCAGTTTTTACAAAGTTTGAACAACATCTTGTTCAAACAATGTAAAAACTGGCCAACTGTGCCACAGCACAGTTTTGATAAAAACTTAATATTCACGGCACGTATTCACAAAACGATGCGTTGTAGTTACTGACGCAAGTTTATACTCGTTTTTTACTTTTTATTTGCTTTGATGGCCGCACGTTGCGTGGTCCGTGCGTACCATCTGCCTTTTATTCTGTAATCTGAGTTCTGTTGTATGTAACCGGCACGACCTGTCAGCATCGAATTCTTTCTTCTTTAGCACCACTACACAGGTAGTTTATGAATTAGGAAATTGTCAGTATGTATGTAACACTGTTCAGGGTACTGCTTTATTCGCCTGGGCCACTGGGCAGCGAGCGAAGCGAGCGGCCAGCACCGGCCGGTGGGGCCCACGCAGACGCTGGCCGGGCTGCGCGAGTACTGCAACCGCGTCAACGTCATACGCGGCGCCGTGCCCTACATGGTGAGTGTGGGCCGCATAGCTCGTGTTATACTGCGGCCAGCACCGGCCGGTGGGGCCCACGCAGACGCTGGCCGGGCTGCGCGAGTACTGCAACCGGTGTCAACGTCATACGCGGCGCCGTGCCCTACATGGTGAGTGTGGGCCGCATAGCTCGTGTTATACTGCGGCCAGCACCGGCCGGTGGGGCCCACGCAGACGCTGGCCGGGCTGCGCGAGTACTGCAACCGCGTCAACGTCATACGCGGCGCCGTGCCCTACATGGTGAGTGTGGGCCGCATAGCTCGTGTTATACTGCGGCCAGCATCGGCCGGTGGGGCCCACGCAGACGCTGGCCGGGCTGCGCGAGTACTGCAACCGGTGTCAACGTCATACGCGGCGCCGTGCCCTACATGGTGAGTGTGGGCCGCATAGCTCGTGTTATACTGCGGCCAGCATCGGCCGGTGGGGCCCACGCAGACGCTGGCCGGGCTGCGCGAGTACTGCAACCGGTGTCAACGTCATACGCGGCGCCGTGCCCTACATGGTGAGTGTGGGCCGCATAGCTCGTGTTATACTGCGGCCAGCACCGGCCGGTGGGGCCCACGCAGACGCTGGCCGGGCTGCGCGAGTACTGCAACCGCGTCAACGTCATACGCGGCGCCGTGCCCTACATGGTGAGTGTGGGCCGCATAGCTCGTGTTATACTTCGACCAGCACCGGCCGGTGGGGCCCACGCAAACTGGCCAAGCTAGCGTATTGGAGAAATAGCTAGTTGTAGTCTAAAATTCTGCCGCTCGGAAAGATAAATAAATATTTGTTCATACTGCTAAATCCTTATGAAGACTATGTATTTACATTTACAGTTCTTTCTCCTTTTCTCGTATGATTATAGACTATTTTGTAAATCAAATGTATCAGCTAAATCATCTTAACGTGACGAGTCATCATCATCAACCTTCTTCTAATGCACGCCACTGCTCTCGATTTTCTGCCACTCTCATCCAGCGCACTTCAGCCAGCCTACGAATGTCATCATTCCATCTTGTCTCAGTGCGTCCTACACTACGTTTACCGAGTCGCGGTCTCCACTCAAGAACTTTACGGCTTTAACGACCGCCTGTTCTGCGGCTAATGTGACCAGTGGGACGTGAAGATTATTTCACTGCAAATAAAACAAAATAACTGCACCATTATAATAATCATATTCAAAATCATTTATTCAGTTAAGGCTGTTACAAGCACACATGAATGTCTAGAAGCTACGCAATCGATTCCATTATCTACGGCGGGAGACCTTGTACTGAGATGAACCGGCAAAAAACTTAGCAAGGGCTATTTTTCTCTCCCTTTATTATTTACAGAGTCGTCATGTTGAATAATGACTTCAGATATGACGACCTTTTATTGCATAATGTGAAATATATATTAACTGTTTACCTGAATTTCGATGGCTGTATTATACAGTATTAATACAGATACTGTTATTTATATTAGGTATAATTAGACATTAACATCTTCTATAGCAAAGTACTCAGGGCAGACTCATCTCCGCTGGCAGCACCCGTTCACGAGCATGACGCATGAACTAGCCATCGCTTCGCTCAAACATATATTACGGATCGTAATAATCCGCCTCACACGACATTGTAAAAGAAACTGAAACTGTTATCAAATGACCATCATTGCCAACTGTTCCATTGTTGAGAGTAAAAATATTTATCTATCTAATGCTACCACATTTTACGTTAACGTCTCAAGGGGTAAATGGCATAACCTATATAATTATATTTAATAAAAAATATTATGCTTGCTTAACAGAATCTAGTCGAAGAAGATCCCTTAACGCATCGTCCAAGCGTGCTGCATGTCAAGTCCTTAAATGAGCGTGTTATCGACATCAGCAAGGTGAGTTCCTTATCTGATTTATTTTAAATGGTTCCATTTTGTTAAAGTGTTAAAGCAGTGCTCCTACCGAACGTATGAACAAACCTTCCATACAAAATTTGACGATGACGATACGTTTACGTAGCTGTCAAAATACTTGCTTGGGCCTCTGTGCATTATTGAAGGAATAAGTGGGACCATGGTGGCCAAGTCACCCGGTTTTATAGGAGATCTCCTGTTTTTCTGAAATTTCTCCCGTTCTTCTGTTTTTCTACATGAATCTACTGCTCTTTTAGAATACGATTTTCTTTTTTAAATTGCATGTTCGAGTTGCGATATCCTCCATTAAGAATGTAGGTAACCTTAATTATAATAAAGTAAATGTAATCTACTGCTTTTTTCTATAACACTCCGATTTTTAAAAATCGGACCTGGCAACACTGAATGGGACTAACCTTCCGCATGCTGCAGAGCCTCACCGGTCATGGGTGTTTCGGTCATTATCTGCACCAGGTCGCCCGTCGGGAGGAGACGCCGCGGTGTCACCACTACGACGATGATACGAGCGAGTATAAATACGCGTACAAAGAAATTTGGGGACTCATTTCTTTGTCGTCCTATCCGAAAATAGAATGCTCCGCATGCTCAAGTGTTCCCTCCTTCTTACAACCTGGGATCCTTTAAAGAAGGCGTGTAGAAGCAACATTCAGGCAAGGTGAGAATGGCTGGTGAGGCAGGGAGAACTGCTGTACCAGCTATCTTCACGTCTGGACTTCACCGACACTTAACATCAGGTGGGGTGGAGTCATTTGTAGCACTAATATATGAAAAAAAAACTCCATATTTGTTAAATTCATAGACATAGATCAGTAAAAAATGTACTGCGGTATCTATGTTCTAAAATATTACTTGTATAAATAGAAATATATTGATCGAGTATAGTACGAGTATACTCGACCAAATAATATAACCACAAAACGACCGGGCGGACGTTGGTGAATTAAGAAGGTCTCAACTCTTATATGTAAACTCTATTATGCTATTTGTAAACTTGACATCATTGTGTCCTTTTCTTTCCTAATAAAGCAATGATAATGGCAGATTGTTGTTAAGTTTACAAAAGCAACTACGAATAGCCAAGTGAAGTGCCGGCTTAAAAAAATGTGTAAACATTTGGCCGTCATTTTGTAAAATCCGTAATTCGTCTATTATTAGTTACGATGCGACCTCACGTTCGATTTGTTTATTGTTATAAACAGCTATCACTGTCCGTCGTCAAATTACAGCATCCCACATTAAACGCCAGCTGTTTCTCAATACAACTGGCGCTCTTATTACCGTCACTGGTTTGATGGACACCAAACGAATTTATGCGACATTGTGTTTCAACGTGTACGACAATTTATATTTAGATGGAAACAATTTCCTACGTTACTTCCCTTGTGTGCGTGCTAATATTGTTATATTTACTTATTTTCTAAATAAGCACTTAGGCTTGTTTCACACGTACCACAACCACAATACCTAGATGGTCGCTAATTTGGTTCATAAACTTTCCAATTTTATTATTTTTCATTGTATTTTCAACTAGCGGCCGCCCGCGACTTTGTCCGCGTTAACTTTTAGTTATTTTTTTTTAAATCTAAAGAAAATATAACTACAAAAAATTCCACGCGGACCAGGCAGCAGACGGGACTCGAACCCGCACCCATTCGCATCGCATTTAGATTTAAACATCAAGCAGTTACATGCTTTAAAAATAATAACTATAATTATTATTTCTTCTTTCAAATGTTTAATACTTGTAAAAGTATTCATTTGACATTGTGGGTTACCTATAATGCGAAGAGATGGCGCTGCCTTGCAGCTTAAGAATGGCTAGAAGAATTTCGACGCGGTCCGTGAGGGCCGCGGTAGCATAATTGGTCCAGTGCATTCGCCCGAATTGCGAAGGGTGCTGGTTCGAGTCCCGTATGCTGCCTGGTCCGCGTGAATTTATTTAGTTATATTTTCTTTAGATGTAAACATCAAGCAGTTACATGTTGTAAAAATAATAAAAAATATATTTTATTTTTATTATAAAAGATTTTTTTTTAATAAAAGTAGCCTAAGTTTCTCCTTGTTACATCAGCTACCTGCCAAAAAAAGTCCCGTCATAATCAGTCTTGCCTCTAGCCATTTTAGAGATTAGCTGAAACAAACAGACAGACAAAAATTATTAAAATAAAAAATGGTGTATGTATATATATTATATACAAACAGACACTCCAATTTTATTTATATGTATAGATAAAGAAGGATGGTGTGTAATAATGTTCCCTTAGACTTACGAGTACTATAGGTAAGAAATCTAATTCTCAAAGTTCAACGTATTGAAATGGACTAATTGGCGTCGATTATATTAACGACTTCCTAACATTATAATTATACGTTATAATTTTCCTAATGTTAACTGTTGCGGATACAATAAAAGCTTTGCACATGAGTTTCTTATAATGTGTCTTTACAATAATTATCTAATATTCTCCGTTTCCTAAGCATGATGGGCCGCTCAGCCTCGTCAATCATGTGTGCGCACGTCACAACTGTTTGCTTTTGACTGACTTTTCCTCAAATCAAAATATTTGACACCAACGTATAACACTAATGAATTTCCTGATATTTGTCGCTCTGATAATAGATTTTTTCTTATCATACACTTTACGTTTACAGCCATCGCTTTGTATGCTCAAAACGAGACCTTTAGCTCCTGTCAGAGAGTGCTCGAAACGAGGGTTCACTAATACTCATACCTAGCCTTCACATGGCTATTTATGGTTTCTATTTGTAAAGGACAATGGGTAATGCTGGGCCCACCTCTCAATAGAAGTAAGATACATATGAATGAATAGGTATTTTTATGCTGAATAAAACTTAGTATTGCAGCAAAGGTCAAAACTCAGTACTTTCGGAGTTATGCTAGGTAGTACGTACCTATTAAACTGCCATAAAAGTATTCCCAATCTAAGCAATTAATGCTCGCAGTTTACATCAATAAAAGATTGACATTACCCAGACTCAAACCTGCTGATTTTTAAATGATATGATTGTAATTGATTCCCAAGACCAATAATAAATCTTTTTTGTTTTAAAGTGAAACACGTGTAGGTACTATTACTATTCTACCTTATAAATATGCATAAAGAATATGTTAGGCAGAGCCGACTTTATAGTTTATAGGTTTGTTAGTAACTAATGTTTCGCTTAAAAAGCCTCAATAGTATATCACATATTACTATTGAGGGGTGGGCCCAGACTCCATACATTTGTTTCCCACTATCCTTTGACAGTAAGTATTTCCTATCATGATCTATAGAAAATTAAAAGTGCAGTCAGCTGTTAGCAGATACTTTCCCAAAAGTAACATGAAAAAGCACCTTAGTGGCCGACAAAATCAGGGTACTTAAGTGAATACTTTACTGCAATTACTATCTTCGCTAATGAACTCTATTTAGTCATTAAAAGTCCATAAAAAAAGTCTTACTAATAAATTTACATAACGCAAACAAATTTATCGGAATCTTACGCCAAATGTATTTCATAAACCGGCGAAACATTAATGCAAAGCTATTGGGCATTGCCAGTAATTACATCCTGTTAAAGTCGTAACTCGTAATGTTGCAATTACGCGCTACAACATTGTTTACCAATAAAGTGGCAAGTTCAATACGCGTTTCATAAGCAAGAGAAAAGCATAATTTTGTGTTATTATTATAATATGGTCTTGGGTCATCCGCGTTGTCTCAAAGTTTCAATGCTCGATGCCAAAATTAACTTCCGTATGTTACGGAACAGTTATGGTAGCAATAATGGTCACCTCGGTTGATCTGCCAGAGTTGTTTCCGACACGTGTATCATCCGTCAACACACTAGTTTATAAAACAAAATTCAGCACCATGTCTTTCTGTCTCTAAACAAGGGTTGCCAGCACCACCACCCATCACCCCCCAGAATTAAAACATCATGCTGGTGTCATTCGTTATTAGTTTATTTTGTTACAAAAGTAGCACATTATCGGGATCCGGGACAATAAGGTCTAATTACTGGACACGGGACAACACGCAAAATTCCGGGACAATCCCGGAAATCCCGGCCATCTGGCAACCCTACTCTATACTCATGATCCCAAAATTTCTGAACAAATTGTCGTGCAGTTTTCACCACCATCGAGATTATTTATAGCACATTAATTAAGAATTTAAGTCATTTTGTGAATTTTAAGTCTTGTATTATGTACCTACTTTAACCGACAAATACTGCCGTGTGGGTTCTCTCCTCCCTCTCTTTAACCATTGCCTTAACCTAGCATTAAGAGTTCACAAAAAACAGGCTTTGCAATTGGTAATTATTTAGCTGGTTAATCACACTAATATTATAAAGGCAAAAGTTTGTGAGTATATATGTTTGTTACTTCTTCACGTCTAAGCGGCTGGAGCGATTTTAATAAAATTTTATATAGAGTTATTTGACACCCTGAATTAACACATAAGCTGCGTTTTACTGCAGGATACTTTATATTCCCACAAAGTTTACTGAAAATACATACTAAATTATTTATACGTCACACCGCCAATTGTATTCTCTTCCCCAATAGATTATCCGTGGCACGTTTCCTTGTGTTTTTCTAATTAATTCTATGGTAGTGACACTGTGGCATCCACAAAAGCGTCGTTGGAAAACCGATGACAATTGGCGGGTCGCCAGCTGACGAACACTGCACACATTCGAATTACACAACCACACACACGCATACCTACACCCGCTGTGCACATTTTCCCGTCACTAGTTAAAAGCAAATTGATAATGCCCAAGTGTCATACGCGGAAAACTTTTATTTTTACACTGAAATGTTTTCTTAACGGCACTCGAGTGTTCGAACACTGGCATGTACGATATACCATTTTTCATGCCACTGTCAAGGTTGATATAAGGTTAGGTTATAAATACGCAAATCCCAGTGCGAAAGACGTTCACGTATTTCATTACGTGATAGTCTTTTTGTCACAGGCACTAATAGACTAAGCCAGTGGTTTATGATACTTGAACTAGAACCAGTTTTTTTTTACTTTTTGTACACCACACATAATCTAATCTCAGTCTCTAATGTCAGCCTATACGAAAACCCACTGCTTTTGGAAGAATCCTCCACTTGAATAAATACACCGCATCAAGGTATCCTCAGGCGAGTGATCGATATCAGACTGTCAAAGTTTTAACGGGTTGCAATATTCGTGCTATCAGAGGTGGTATCATCTTCCAGATATCCATTACCAACAGGTTTGTGAAATTACGACTAAGTAGCCTATCTACCATAAAGCTGGGTTTTAAGACTTTAGACATATAATTGTTACTCACAGCATCTTCAGAAGCTGTTAGAACGTGAAACACCAACCTCTATCGTTTATTGATACTTCCGCAAATAAGAGAACCCTTTTTAAAAAGCAACTGTTTACTTTAAGGCCTTCTGAAGCATAAGAAAAGATTGATGAATTCCTTTGCGACACTTCCGCAAACGCAGACTACTATAATCACTGCGCATCGTCTATGATTCGTTCCATAAATTAGCAGATTTATTCACTTCATATTATTGTACTCTTTAACTGCATCCACTGCTGGGCGGGTGTTGTGTGGCCAGTCCTAACGTGGCTCCACGACCACATCAGGGGACCAATCGCCTAACGAGATTGCAATGGCTTTTGCTTTCGCTTACGATATCATTTTGGTATTTCTGACCGCCCGGTTTTCAATACCTCACGCTCATTTTCTTTAATATTGGTTTTACCAATGCAAAAGAAAAAAAAGTGCGCGGGGCATATGAAAACCTTGGACGGTCTAAAATAGCAAAATTAAATCGTAAGCGATAAAGGCAGCCATAGCAATCTTGTTAGGCGACTGGCCAGTACTCACGGCATACCTCGTGAGCTGCAGGACTATTATCTGTGGTTTAGTGGGTAGAGTCCCAGGTCATTGCGCCGAGTTCGGGACTACCACCTATAGCGATTTCTTTGGCTATTGCTATATCTTATGATTTCAATTTGCTATTTCTGACCGCCGAATTTTCAAATGGCTCGCGCTCTTTTTGTATTGAAATAACAACCTTGAAAAAAATGAGCGTGTGTTGAAAAACTTTGGCGGTCAGAAATAAAAATTTTAAATCATAAGCTATAGAAATAGCCAAAGCAATCCCGATAGGGCGGTAGACCCCCTAAATTGAACGAAATGAACAGGAAAGAGTGTTTCCATATCATCGTTGCAACCCCGGTAGCGGTGAAGGCTTCATTTACGCTTTTCCCAGATAGAAAAATGCTTCCATGACTAGGATGCCACAATTCGTATCCTTGAAAGAATACCTGTGTTCATAACTGATTGTCTATTGCAAGGTGGTCGCAGCGCTTTCGGGCATCGGCTCTATAGACGTGAAGCCTTACGGCCGTAGAACGGCGCTGATAGCAGCCGGCACAAAATTTACGTGAGTACATATTGAATTTTATTTTTGCATTAAACTTTATGGATTTTATAGTTATGAGTAGTATTTAATTTATATATAAAAATCTTAAAATTTATTGAATTGATGAGCCTGAAACCAACAGAAACAAACAAGTAAAATACACAAATCATCAAAGATCTGTCATTGTTGTAATGTATGTTTTATATCACTTCTGTCTATTATAAGTATAGATCGGATTATCGGATGCATATCATATCATATTATGGAAAGCATGTTTTTGTCGAAAAATTTCCGCGGGAAATTCAAATTTAAGTTTAACCTCCGTGAATCTAATAAACCCATTTCGACACATAAGTGCCACCGCACATGGACCACACGCCATAGCCACAAACGCCGCCACGAGAAGCTAGAAGCGGCTACTAAAGTGGCTAAAGCGCGACTAAGGTAAGGGAGAGAGGGGTGGAGAATCGCGCGTGTGACGTGTGGCGGCGCTTTGTATCGGCGCATTAAGTGGCCACAAGAAGCGAGCAAAGACGATTTGTAGCGTGTGGCGGCCACGGGCGTACCTTGTGTGGCGAGTCCATGTAAAATATATGAAAACTACAAGAAATATGCCGGTGGCAGCGTTTTGTGGTTGAGGTCTGTGGCCCGTGTGCGGCGACACTTACAGTTGCCCTGTATGTATAAAATAAAATATTGTGTAAGATGCCCTTGATGAATAAATAAATTTGTGATTTCTTATTAACCACTGCACCATTTCTCTAACACCTTACATACACTCATACACATACTCGAATGGGAAATTCACAATTTTTAATTTAAGTAAATATACATCCGATTAGTTATGTGATCCCGGAGTCCCGGGATTTTATTTATAACTAGCTGACCCGGCGAACTTCGTACCGCCTTAGCGTAGCTTTGATGCACTACTTTATTTTGTATAGCTGACCTATCTTATGTATGAGTACCTATTCATTGTTAGCGCGGTTATGGATGTGTTGTCACAGATTACCACAGATTTTTTGTTTTAAATTGAATGACGTTGACATTCGTTATGTTATATTTTTCAATCTTTCTGAGAGAATTTCTTTATATTTTTTTCCGTAAGAACCTTGCACAGAGTATTAGAAAACTACAAAAAAAAAAACAGCCAAATCGGTCAAGCCGCTTTCATGTTATGTCGTGACAACGGAAAACGGGTTTCATTTTTATATATATAGATTAAAATATACTAAGAAGCCACTTCCATAATTTGTTAAATAATTACTTTGGTAAATATGCATCCGAATATCCGTTCTCCAATCATAAGATATCATTTAGTATCTCTTATCTAATAGACAAGTCCGTCCGTCCGTCCGTGGTGCTGTTTCAGCGGCCAAACCGTAAGAGATAGGTATAGAGAATGTTTAACTTATAAGTTAAGAATAGTCTGATAAGACTACAAACCGGATGTGAGTAACGTAGCACTTCCGGTTTTCGAGAAATCACTTTCAAAATTTCAAACGAAACCACACAAAATCTCCGAAGTTCTCAATTAATAAATACTTTATTTTTTTTGGTGAACATTTGGTTCACTGGTTTGCTAGTATTTAAATTAAAAGCATAACGAGCAAGCGATCAATGACCATACATGATGACCTCCTTGGCGGGGTTTCAAGGTGTCGCCTACTCGAGAGGTCCCGGGTTCGAATCCTGGTGGGGGGTAGATGTTTGTGTGATGAAAACGAGCATTTGTACTCCAGTCATGGATGTTTAATATGTATTTCTATGTAAATATACTTATATATGTATCAATATTTATGTATTCTCTCCGTTACCGTAGTATCCCATAACACAAGCCAACAGTGCTTCCTCTGGGGCTAGGCTAATTGGTGTGAGTGTTGAAAATGTTTATTTATTTATTTATACATTATTTTCTTTACAGTGCAGATAGAATACTGAAACAGTACAAAGACAGTCCCGAGTACCGCATCTCTGTGTTCAACTACTACCGACACAGCGTGACCGGCCGGATGGCTCTATGGTACGTACGTTAACAAACATCGACAGCCTCCCATAATCGCGAGATGTTAATATATTATTTACTAATGACCCGCCCCTGCTAAAATAGACTATAATAGCTTTTGTTCCGGGGCTTGTATTATATTAGATTAAAACTTTCCTTTAAGGAAGAGGGCTCTAAAGTGGTAGTCGGTTTCCGGCAGCGATAAAACATATATCATTTAATAGCTTGTTTTATGTAATAACATGAACAGATATTGTTACTTATTTATTTAACCCCGATTGATTTTAAGTCGTGTTTGAAAATTTAACAATTTCGTAAGAATACTGGTCACCCTGATATAGGTAACGTCACATTTGTAGTATGTGGCAGCTTATAGCGTCAACTCAATCACTATGTCAATTGTCAATCAGTCTAGGTGAAATTATAATACCAATTTATGATAGATTTTTCTTGAAATAAAATACCTAATTATACAACGAGAGATGAACAGAATAATTATTACTATTTTAGTTACATATTGACTAGAATATATTTGATGCTTTGGCAACAAACAGTAGATAAATAAACTAGCAATTATCCAATTAATATTTATGTAATTTTAAATTATAATATATTTTATTAATGGACTAAAATAATTTTTAGTTTTTTTCAAACGATTTATAATTAAGTTCGCAACATCTCATAAAAAATTGTGTTCTGGCGGAGACTGACTTCCACCCTCCATACAAATATGAACCGTCTCCTTTCTCTAACTGACGATGAAAACCGCTTTAAATTTCAACTCAGTACTTTTTAGATCATCACAAACATACACATGACTGGGGACCTAGCTGTCTGTAATAGGATATTAATATCTTAATAGTATGATATAAGGCTCATCAAACTTGTCACCCCATAATTGTGAGGAAAATCCAGACACGCCTCAAATTCCTGCTCCGAACGCAATTTCCTTATCACGCGTATTGTTGTAAAAATCACTTAAGCTATTAAAAATTAATGCTTAAATAATTAGGGTGACTAATCAACATTTTCTTTTACATGGCTCTGTTAAAATGAGGCCGCTAAAAGAATACGTTCGTTATAATGTCGCATTACTTTCTAAACTTTCTTTCTCGTTGACAAAATTGAGTTTATTTCGTACATTTTTTAGAGACGGAAATTGTACTTTATTCCGTTAACATAAAGAACTAACACGACCTGTCACGAACACATTCTTTCAGAGGCCGCACTGTGGAAATAAAATATAGTCACATAATTTTTTTTCTCACTATAATGTAATGCTAGCTGCTGTAGCTGTACATGTATGCTGTAGCTGTACATGTTCTGTTAGATAGACAAATATCCTTATTAAGCAATATATGGAATGAAAGGGAGAGATCTGTCAAATTCACAAATAGCAAATTTAAGAATAGCCACGTGAAGTGCCTATTCACAAATAGCAAATTTAAAAATAGCCACATGAAGTGCCAGTTTAAGAGGTTTTTATAATATAAGTTATATATTATATAAAGCGTGCATAGCTCGTGTTAATTTTGTTCAACGAGCAAGTGATACTTTGATTGAATATATTATACCAAGCGTCTGCAGTCCATGGGTCTGCTTACTATCAATCGGACCAAATAATTTCTTTTCCATCCTTAATGACATAAAAAAATCTAAAATCAATTAAATTCACCTTTCTTGTTTCAGGGGAGGAGCTCTACTGACTGGCAGTCTAGTCATATATTTTTTGCATAATAATCTTAAAACTAAAAGTAATTTATTATAATAGCCGTTGTTAATATAGAAAATACTCAAATCAACACAAACTAATTAATAGCATAATATGTAACTATAGCAAGCTTTTCATACAAACGACAAAGTCGTTTTTATGTACATCCCATTACTGTTATTATTAAGATCAATTTAAAGACTGTTTAGTATCTAGTTTTTTTATAAGTCATAAAGTGAGTTTATTCTTCCATAAATGTTTAAGTCACGTTGATAATTGCAATTTGCATTTATACTGTTATTTTTATACTTCATATTTAAAGCAAAATGTATTGTTGTTTTGTGAAATCGCTTTTCTGTTAAATCAGGTAGAAGGTTGAAAATATAGTATTTTGGTTATAATAAATCCTCTGTTTTACTTTCTACCATTATATCATGACAAAAGTTTTCTTTCTCACTCACTAAAGGCTTATTTACACTTCGGTAAGTACAGTAGCGAGTTTAGAAAAAGGACAATTACAAAGAAAAAAATCAGTTCGGACTTGCATGGCGCTGGGCTTTTCATTGTAGCTGTGGAAGCGCTAGTATTACATCATTATCAGCCTATTAATGACCCCACTGCTGGGGCACAGGACTTCCCAATGGATGGAATAAGGAGATTGGGCCATGATCCACCACGCGGGCCCAGTGCGATTGGCGGGTGCTAACGACTGCAGATGCAGCCGGGAACAACGGCTTAACGTGCCTTCCGAAGCACGGGGGAACTCGTGTTAGAAGATTTTTGGTCACCCATCCAATGACCGACCATCAAACCATGCGGTTATCAAACATTCGATGCTGTAATGTAGGTAGGTAGTGCAATTGAAATTTAATGGTGGCTATATACGAAATAAGCGCAAGTCGCGGCGCAGTGAAAGCGTTATAGTTACGCTCGCTGCTAACTTCATGGCCGCCATAAGGTTTGAATCGCACAAGATTGGCACGGATGGCTTAAATGCTGGATCTGTAGCACTCAATTTATACCGCCTCAGAAGAAGTGTGCGTAGCTTAATGAACTTTATGACAATTGAAAAAGATACAAATAATACGAACGAAAAATGGTCGGGCGTCTTCTGCGGGATTTTTGCGTATTCTCGAAAATTCTCTAGTTATTGGCTTATTGTATTGTATTGAGAGTGGCTATTGCCTAGCTTATCAATATCGTGGCAGTATGGCTCCATTTTCAGATGGATAAATAGTTTTTTTAATCATTACAATATTCATCATAACATTATAATTTATGATCGAATAGACAGAATGTGCCAAGAATGACCCACCACGTGGGCCCGGTGCTAACAACTGCAGACGCCGCTGGGACCACCGGAGCCCTATTACAAATCTGCACTCTGCGAGAATGGGTATTTGAAGCGTTCCCGACAACTCATTAAAGGTCACGAGTTTACAATACTGTGTTGAACCTACGATCAGGCGATTTTGATACTTTTTTCCAAGTTTTGTATATTTTTACTATTTCTATGTAGTAATTCGTTATCGCTATACCCGCACATTTTTAGAGTGCCATGGAGGTTCTCATATGTGAATAAACAGATTAAATGAAGATGATACCATAAATAAGACAGATGATATTTGTTCAAAACAAAATTTATTTTTATGTTTTTCGTTTTAGATTAAAATAAAAGATTAGATATTTATTATTATTTATATATTATTATAGATATATATTACTATTATGTTTGATTATTTGTATAAAACACCCTAAGTCAGAACTACCTATTTGCCAAATTTCAATCTAATCGATCTAATGGTTTTTGTGTGAAAAAGCAACAGTCATGAGCTTATTTCAGATTCATCATATTATAACCTGCCCGCTGAGAGAATGCGTTCTTGACATTTGTCAGTTAGTCATATTATAACAGTATATTACTCTTAGCCACCGCGTTATCCTGCTGAGGTGGCCAATAGGAATACCCTGTTACGAGTAACTCACAGATGTCAGAAATGTACTCCCTCAAAAATAAAACGTTTTTCTTGTAACAAATCAAACTCTAACTCAATATCATTTATTCAGTCTAGGCTGTTACAAGTATTTGTGAATGACGAAATGCTATGCCACCGGTTCGCAAATCTACGGCGGGAGACCTTGTACTGAGAAGAACCGGCAAGAAACTCAGCAAGGGCTCTTTTTCTCCTGCCATTATATACAAAGCCGTCAAATTTAAAAATGACTTCAATATGAGATAATTCATGAAGTCATTTTCCGTCACAAACACAAATAAAATATATAAAAAAATACTAACATTTAAAAAATACTTATTAAACACATACTTTAAGAACGCCGTGTAGGACGCCTAAGACATAATAAAAAGTACGATTACAGTGAAATATAACGATATCATTATCAGCCGACGGACATCCACTACTGGGCATAGGCCTCCTCAAGGGATTTCCATAAGAAACGATCTTGCGCTCTCCGCATCCAGTAGGTCCCCCTGACTCGCTTGATGTCGTCACTCCACCTCGTGAGGGGTCTACCGACACTGCGCTTCCCGGTTCGAGGTCGCCATTGAAGCTCATTGGAACCCCATTTAATGTAGCAAAAGCAGACCCATCTCCGCTGGCAGTACCCATTAACCAGCATGACGCATGAACCAGCCATCGCTTCCTCCATGTTTTAGGGAACGTAACGATCCGCCTCACTTGACACCGCCAAAGAGACTTTTAAGAGAGCATGACTACTCCCAATTACATATGGATACTAGATTGCAAATAGAAAAAAAAAGTACCTGTGTAAATTATTACAAAAAACACAATTGCAGGACATATGCATGTGATTACCTATACACTATTACATCTTAAATAGAAAAATATTGACACTGCAATCAAATGTAGGTCAACAACTACATATTAGTTGTTGACCTACATTTGATTGCTGTGTCAAAAATCAATTAATTATCATTACAATAATACAGTAGTGATAATGTCGGGATATTCTCTTTATCCATCGGAAATAATAATGTTTTCTTGGCAGAGAAGTTACTCATTCTGAAACAGTGACATTATAAATGATTAGTGCTGAATATCTCTTATACTTTAGCAGGGTTGATAGAGTTTCACATCAGGTGCACCAGACATTCGATTTTTAGGTCATTAAAAAAATACTCATTGTGTCTACATTTGTATCTTTTACAGTTTGGCTGGGCTGCTATGGTTCCGAATTAGTTATTCCTAGCTTCAAAATAATATTTATTACAGAGGACGAATAGCAATACAAAAACAAAATTTCATCAAAATCATAAGAAACAATTTTAAAAAAAATGCAATATTGGCCCGTTTACATTTTTATTATATGTTAATATTATATATCTATGGTATGCTAAAAATAATAAAATAAATATTAAAAGAATAATTGAACACAATGCTATGTAGATTCCATATAAAACAAACACTTAAAAGAATTATACTTACCTGATCAAAACTTGTTGGTCGCACTATACTCTGATGCTCGATCGATTATGGCGCAAAAAATGTGAAAAAATTTGACACAAGTCCGACGCTCAGGAGCGCTCGCGCAGTACTGAGTTCGGACGACCGGCGCGGCGCATCGCATTTTGTAGTAATTTTGCAGTTGTATTTATCGTATTAATTGAAATAAGTGAATAAATTCATGCTTTAATTTATATATATTATAAAATCTTTATTCCTCATGAAGTAACAAATGTTCTGGTATAAATTTTGCTTAGTAATATTATCGTAATTAGGAGTAAATCGCAATTAACTTTAAGCGATTTTCGAAGATTTTTAGGTTTAGAATAAGTTTTTTTCTATATTAAAACAAAGATATTTCAAAATTCTAAGGCCGCTACGAACTATACGACTATATAGTAGATAAAATTCATTTTTTTTTATTTAATTTGCTTAGAACAGTAGTTCGATCCAGCTCAAGAAAGTGCCTTCGCGCATTTTATGAAAATCTTTCTCTGCAATATTGGATTTAATTAAAAAGTTTAGCAAAATTTACAAAAAGCGAGTCCGCTACGAACTAGGCCAATAGTTATTCAGCACTATTCAATAGATCAAAATTGTTAATGTATATTTGTTTCTGAGATCAAGAACGCCAATTTACGCAAAAATCACAGTCGAGATGTAATATGCCTCTTAGCGTGTATTTCGAAGCATCGTTTTTTCCCTTAAAATAACGCTATTTAATAAAAGAAAAAAAAATAAGAATATAATATTTTTATGTATTTCATTTCTATTTAAAAATACTTATCTAAAAGAAGTACAGTAGGTAGGTATAACAGGGACAAATAAATGTATTTCTCAATTTGTTTCTTAGGTTTTCACGCACATCACTCATTAGATAAAACTAGTTTTTACGGGTTAATGCACGAAACTTTATTTATTTATTGACGTTTCGCAGCCTTTTCAGGTCTGCTTCGTCAGAATAATGATTTTTTATTTAAAATTGTCGAGCTACCTTCGAAAGACTTATATTGAGCGTTCGGTTATTTCATTGGAAGATTTTTAAAATTTTATTGTCTATGTATGAATTTATTATTTAATTTACTTAATAAAGTATTTTATTTAAAATTCTTGTTTGTAATTTTGAGTTTATTTATTTGACCCTAACTACCGTAAACTACCACCGGTTCCAAAATTGGGAGACCTTCCTGAGAAGAACCGGCGAAACAAACTCAAGAGAGGCTTTCTATCTCCTTCTTATGTTAAATTATGCAAACAAAAAGAACTACCTAATAGTATCTGATGGTCTTGCAGTGTGTGCTCGGGGTTGGGATTTTATCTCCTGTATAATAGGTTCCCAAGCTGGTGGTATATACCAACCATCTTCCCTATTGAAATTTGGATATTTTTTAATCTCAATAGCCTCGCGCATCATTCGAGGAACGAACCGTCGCTCAGCCGTCAGCTCAGAAACGTCAATAAATAAATAAAGTTTCGTGCATTAACCCGTAAAAACTAGTTTTATTTCTCAATTATTTGATTACAAAACGTAATTCATGAATAATGTCATTTCCAAATGATTATGATTGAAGGCGATACTTACCTACTTACAATTATTTAACACTAGTGGCCCGCCCTCGCTTCGCTTCGGTGTAGAGCTGTAGTGTAAACTATAGTAGTTTTTTTCTCAGGCTTGTGCTATAAAGAATGACTTTATTTATATAATTACACATGTTATTGTGAGTCAACCATAAAAGATAGACATATGCTGTTGCGGGATAATTTTTAAACAATTTTATGTAGAATATTTCCGTCATACATGATTTCTATGTAACTTTAACCGTTAAGGCTGCACCCGCGACGGAAGATTATAAAATGGAGTAACTTCTCCCGTTTTCCCAACATTTCCCTTCACTACTCTGCTGCTATTGATTGTAGCGTGA